GGTTCAATGCAAGATTCAGACCCACTTGGTTTTGAGCCAAGGGCCTGTACAATCAATACCATACAGATGAGTTTGCCTTTGGCCTAGAACAGCATGAGAAAGCTCCTTTCCCAATATCCCCCCCCCAATACTCCCCAGCTCCACCTCCAGTAATTATGTCATTGCCAAAACCTCCTTCCCTTGGATCTTGGAAGGTCCTATGCTTGCCTTTGACCAAAGACTGTGGCAAAATGATGCTGTACAACTCCCAAGGCAAGCTTCTGTCTTAGTTTCTGTCTTGGACTCTTAGCCTGAAGGCTCCAATCCAGTTCAGACCAACTGGCGGAAGCGAGAGTGGAAAACTGTTGTCATTTGCTGTTGTAAACAAAAACCATCAACACAAGCTACTGAGGACTGAGCTCCTAAAAACTTCTCCCCCCCCCCCCGCTTTTAAGAGAGGAAGTAAAGGGAAGAGAGATAAACAATATTTTTGACAGAGTTTCACCATGTTTTGCAATCTGCTGCCCCAGCCTCATGATTACCTAGGCCCACAGGTGCATGCTACCACATCCAGTGTGTTTCAGTTGGGCTTTGAAACAAATCCCAGGCCTTCCACATGACCCTAACCATTGCACAGTGGCACTCTCCTGCTTGTCCCTCTGTGGATGGGCCAAAACTGTCTTCTTTTAAGAAGCAGGAATACAGACTGTGTACTCCCCCCCCCCTTATTGCCAGAGGTTATGTGAACTTGCCAGAGAGAAAAAGCATCTCCCCAGTGAGACATGGTCATACTGCAATTCCTTTTGCCTCCATTTCTGCACCCCATCAGGATTTGGGCCATGCACATACATGCCTGGTATGTCTTTCCACATACTGGAGCTCGGGAGCTGGGATTCAAACCATGATCAGCCATGTGAGATCTGGCTTCCGATGCATGGTGCTTACCCGCTGTATAATGGGCCAGCCCCAGACCACTTGTTTAAAACACGACACTTCCATGGAACAGGTAATGCTGTTTGAGACCTCTCCTGTGAGAGGTGAGATGATTGTTATAATAAAGAGTAAGCTGGTGCCAGCAGATAGTGTGGAGGTTAGGGCAGCTGGATCCCAACTGTGTGGTTCGAGCCTCATATCTGGCAGCTTGAGAAACACACTGTGTGTGTGTGTGTGTGTGTGTGTGTGTGTGTACCTGTGCATGCCCCAAATCCTGAGGAGAATGGAGGAGAAGGGAATGCTGTGTGGCCCTTCCCCTTGAGGGGTGTTTTCTCATTTCCCTCCCTCTCTTTTTCTGCATCCAGCAAGCACATGCCCTATAGGAAAAAATTAAAAAAAAAAATAAGAGTAAACTGTGCAGAGTTCTTGCCCAGCAAAGTGCATGAGTTTAAGCGAGTAAGGTCACACACATGGACACGTAAGTCAGAGACCAGATGGCTGTAGCAGAGATTACACACAGTATTATTACATATGCTCGATTTGCCCTGTCATTCAAATGGATCCGGGAGTTCAGACCAGGCATGCCCAGGTAAACACAGGAAACTCCTGGATTTTATCAAATCTTCTTAAAACACACATTATAAGACCCTATAGAAAGCATCACTGCTTTTACCAGAATCCCCCTCAGAAACTCTCAAGTGGCTCACACTATACAGAGACCAGAGCTTTCCTGCCCCCTGAATGAAGCATGAAACTAGTACTCAACGCAACTCACGGCACAATGCGAGCGTCTACCACCAGGCGATGCAAGCAGCAGGCGCCAGGACGATCCCAATGACCTTACACATCTAGATGAATAGATTTGTCTTGGACTCACTGCTGATAACAAAATGGCGCACGCTGAAAGCTCATAGCCACCAAGGAGTGGGAACAGCTGGCCCAAGGTGATTCCTTCACTCTGCATCCCTTACCTCCTTTCTTTCTTTGGTAAGTTATTGACTTATTCTGTGTGTGTGTGTGTGTGTGTGTGTGTGTGTG